CTATATTTCATGATTTCTTTTTGCTTCATTTCATCATGCTAATTACCAAATAACAATATATTAAATACTGGGTACGTGACATATCACCATCATTTTTTTTTTGTTTTGTATTTTAATGTTATTAACTTTCTAATGGAACATGAAGTAAGCTTGTACTTAGGTTAAGTTCTACATCAACGTTATTTTTTTTCTAGGAAATCTCATAAACTTGGTGTGTAGATAAATCTTATGAATAAAACACGAGCATAATTAAAAGCACTTTTAAATAGTTATGATTTTTACTTCAAAATAAAGATGGTATATTTAATATATATTCGTTTTTGTAAGAAGGTCCAATTCTGATCTATAATGAAACCTAAAGTATGCATGCAACACTGCTGCTAACATGAATAGTACAAAGCTAGCTAATTGGAAGTACGTACTCTTGGCTTTTTCAGAAGTCAGAACAAAATGACAATCCATCACAAAGGTCCCATTCATTGTACTCCTTTTACAATGATGATGATGATTCACTAGCTACTATACCATATGTCTTAACCTTTTGATCATAACATCGATCCATGTTTATAAAAGTTACTTTCATCTCTAGCTTCAGTCATTTACTATAACATCAGTAATTTTTTCACATTCATAGTAAAACTTACATGCATGCAAAGGTGAACTCTGACACCAAACTAAGGTTCCTAAAGAAGACTTTAATTAATTAATGTCATGCATTGGATCAAGAGATTAAAATGTCCACATGTACATGCATTTTTGTGAGTTGGTTGAAATATGTGTAATTAGTCTTACACAACAAAAGTGGGAAATAGTGTTTTACTTTTAAAATAAAGGTAAAATAAAACTCATTAAAAGAAATGAAGACAGACAGAACGCAGACAAAGTAAGAAACAAAAAATGTAATGAAAAATATCAATCAGTTAATGTCTAGGAATCCATGTGTAGTTGGAATCTTATTCATGATCATATTGCCATTTTTAAGGAAGATTTAAATATGATTAAATTTATATAACATGAAGTATATATGTAGCTTTTTGGCTTGTTTCTAGTAAGAACTATATTTAAATGCATTATAATAATTATTTCAGGAGTTAATAATGGAGGATATATATATGTTTGTTTTACAGGTATCAAATTGGTTCATAAATGCAAGGGTCCGGTTGTGGAAACCCATGGTGGAAGAGATGTATCAGCAAGAGAGTAAAGAAGAAGCTGAAAACCCTAGTCAAAGTCCTCAACATCAAGATGAAGATCAAGTTGAAGATGATGAAGAAGATGAAGAACAACAACAAGAAGATGATGAAGAAAACACTAAATACCATAATCATCGTAAATATCAAAATCAAACCAGTAATTCCCACCCTTCGCCACTTTCTGCTTCTGCCACCACACAAACTACAATGCCTCCTCCGCCACCTCAGACAGCTGCTCCGACAACATACACCACCACCACAACCACAACAACAGCAAAAAGATCCGAAATAAATGACTCTGAAAACGACCCTTCACTCCTCGCAATCAATACACAACATCGTTTCTCGGAAAACCAAGCTGCATCTGCTGCTATGTCCTACTCGTACCCACCTATATCAAACCCAACCGGCGGCATTACCACCATGGCACCACCACCTGTATCCCATCCCTTTGATGCTGACACATGCCGACGCGGCAGCATGCTTGGCGCTGACTACAGGACCACTACAGGAGACGATGCTGCTGACATTGGGTCAACATTGATAAGATTTGGGACCACTTCTGGTGACGTGTCACTCACATTAGGGCTACGTCACGCCGGAAACCTGCCGGAGAAAACGTCTTTTTTCAGTTAGAGATATTGGGATTTAAATTATTAAGCTTCGATGATTTCATAAAGTACCCGATGGTATAAGTTATTAATCTCTTAATTTTTAATCAATTATTATACCTTAAATCTAGTACAAGTTCTTGTTCTTTTTTTGTTTATTTGAGCTAAAATAATTAAAGAAAAAACAAAAGTTATATATACACGTACACCTTCACACTGCAATTTTCATAATGTGTTCCTGTACTAATTAATTAAAAGAAGATAACTGAAGTGAGAGGAAATTTAAAATGCATCTTGTTCACATACGCATGCTATTCTGAAATATCGTTTTTGTTTCAGATTTAATGCTTGAAGTCATATATTTCATTTTGGCTTTACTGGAACTTATTTAGCGAAATTTAATCATCTTGATTTACTTTTTCCTGAAATGTCACGCTCATGAGACATTGTCGACACATATATGTAATGATATACAGCATGTATCTTTAAAAGCAGATCAAGAATCTTGGACAAGCTAGCAAACAGGACAAAAAAACTATCTTTGAAAGCAAGATCAAGAATCTTGGACAAGCTACCAATTAATGCTGTTAAAACGTCAAAATCTACAGGGTGTGTTACTTTGGAAATTTATGAAGGAATTTCACCATCAGGTTTCATGGTTGTTTCACTGTTACATTAATGGAAATAGAAATTGAGAGGTGAAAGTGAAAGTTCCAGCAAACTGTCTTTTTTTGCTTTGTATAGTGATAGTCTGATAGAGGAAACTAGTCACATTTTGAATTATATTTTCAGCAATAAATTGGATTATTTATACTAAAACTATGTAGGATCTAATCTACTTATAATAGTATGATGTTATAACAACTTTTCACAAGTTCCAAGTTACCATATGATTATTATTAGTAAATAATGTAAATACTTTACTATTATAGAAAAATAAATATAACTGGAGTTCGATATGTATTCTGTGTGCCATCGTTGGGGTGGAGTTCTTTGTTACCAATATTGGTCATGTAAAGTTTCTTAACTAATATTACATATGGTATTAAAATAGAACATTGGCATGTATTCTAATTGTGCTATAGTTTGTTCATTACAATTACATTACTGAAAAGCTATCTTTCAAAGAGTGTGATTTTTTATAATCATATAATTATAAGCACAAAAGCTAAAGAAGAAGACCAAGAACACAAAAGAGTGTGAAAACCCTTGTAGGGAAAACTAACACACTAAGTGACAATTACATAGAAGATAAAGAAATGAAAGTATATTTCCATAATAGAAATGAATGAGAGTAAGATACTATAGAAAACAAATAAGTAGCACTACAAGGAAAAGGATAATTAGCGGCGACAAAAGTCGCCGGTAAAAGTTCCAATTGTCGCCGGTAATAGTAATAGCGGCGACACGTCGCCGGTAATAAGTTGTCGCTATGCTTCGTCGCTATTGATCAATATGTCGCCGCTAATGAGAATTGTCGTCGGTAATGATAATGTCACCGGTAATGACAATGTCGCCGGTAATAGCGTCGCCGGTAATAACAATTTTCATTTTTTAATTTTTTTTATTCAACGATTTTGGTTGCCGGTAATAATGTCGCTGGTAATTACATAACAACATTCGATTAAATATCAAAAATAATAGTGTCGACGCTAATTACAAAATTGTAATCCGATTAAATTATAGCATTGTACTTTACACAATTATATTTTGTTTTTGTGTTGTTCTTTTTTACCGTCGAGATTAAAAAATATATTTTTTTTTTATTTATAACATGGTATAAATATGTTGCAAGATTATAAGTTAATTTGAAGATTATAAGTTAACTATATAACTTATTGGTTAATTTGAGGTTAGATTAGGAACAAACTAGAAACTTTCTAGTATTCGTATATAAGGTTTTAAACAATTTTATAACATTCTTTTTGTGTTTTTTTTTTCCAATTATAACAATAATTTATTTTTATTTTTTTCAATTATAGCATCCTACTAATACCAAAACCACATACTTTCACATAATACATAAGAGCATGAAATTCACATACATATACCACATATACACCAAATACAAATACATTCACATACACACATAATAACATCCTA